TTCCTCCACTTCGGTCTCTCCCCTCACTCCTGCTACGCTCCTCTCTGACCTATGGAAACCTGAAGTCTTTTGTTTCTTCTATTTTCTCCTAGACTGTCAATTCCCTTCCTGGCCCAGAAAAAAAGTTATAATTGTTATCATTGATTTGATACAATCTTTTGATTGCTCTCAGTGATTCCTCTCAAACTTCTTCAGTATGGACCATTCTCCCTAACTGCTGATGTATACAAAATTCTTGTTCCCTTATGTTAACAGATTACCTCATTTCCTACTTCATCAAGAAAATTTGAGATCTTCAGAAATGCCTCCCTCAACTACCAGCCCTCCTTCTACCATGCCAACTTACACCCATACCATCCCTGCAGTCTTACCTCCAGTCTGAACGAGTGAGGTGCCTCACTTTCATTCAGTGTCAGCCCCTCCCCTTGTGCTGTCAATCTCTCTTCATTGTCCCCTCTTGGAAATTTACTCCAATTTTTTTTTTTTTTTTGGTACCATTTTATCTATCTTTAACCTGCTCCTCTTTGCCAGTGTCTTCATGTCAGCTTTCCTTTCCCTTGACCCCTCAGTTTTTTCATAGCCCCTTAACTTTTCTCCTCTCCTTTCATTCAGCCTTTATAAAGAATATTCTACCTGTGTTATATCTAATTTCTTCTTCTTTATCTTCAACCCACTGTAAGATAGTTATCACCTGAAATGTCTATATTAGTCAAGGTTCTCTAGAGGGACAGAATTAGTAGGATAGATAGATATATAAAGGGGAGTTTATTAAGTAGTATTAACTCACACAATCACAAGGCCGCAAAATAGGCCCTCCGCAAGCTGAGGCACAAGGAAGCCAGTTCAAGTCTCAAAGCTGAAGAACTTGGAGTCCGATGTTCAAGGGCAGGAAGCATCCAGCGTGGGAAAAAGATGTAGGCTGGGAGGCTAAGCCAGTCTACCCTTTTCATGTTTTTCTGCCTGCTTTATATTCGCTGGCAGCTGATTAGATGGTGCCCACCCAGATTAAGGGTAGGTCTGCCCTCTCCAGCCTACTGACCCAAATATTAATCTCCTTTGGCAACACCCTCACAGACACCTCCAACATTAACACTTTGCATCTTTTAATCCAATCAAGTTCACACTCACTATTAACCATCACAATGTCTATCACCAAGGTTACTAGTGACCTACTGTTTTTAAAATGGAGTGGATATCCTCAATCTCTTATTTCACTGGACACCTTTCCTGAGTAGGATGCTGTTGTTCACTTCCTTTTTCCTAACACAACTCTATTCATTGGACTCTAGTCACCCTTACACTTCTGGACACCATTCCTTCTTGTTGCTCTTCCTGTTTTCAGCCCTCAAGTATTAGTGTCCCTTAAGGTACTGTCCTCAGTCAACTGCACCCTAGTTCCTCTCACATTCCCCATGGAGAGCTCATTCACGTGAGTTTCTACTTCTGTGATACTGCTAAGTTGTATCTCCAGCTGAAACTTATTCTCTAAGCTTCAGTTTTTGATAGCCAGCTGATTCCTGATAATCTCCACCTATGTCCTCCAGGAACCTGAAGTTAATTATGATCAAAACTGATTTCAGTCTCTCCCATTTATCTGCTTCCACCCCAATACTCTGCATCTCCATTGGTGACATCACCACATGCTGGGAAACTGGAAGACATGTTTGTGCATGACTCACTCCCTCGCCCCCATATCCTGTCACCAAGTCCTACCATTTTTATCTTTTAAATGTTTCCTGAAGCAGCTGCTTTTTATTCCTCATTACTTCTTTCATTACCAACCCTGTTAAGTTTCCTGTTTTTGTTTTTCTTTTTTCAAAAAGGATAGAGTATATATACAGAACACCAATCTGCCAAAATCACTTTCCATTAAAAATATTTTAATTATGCTCCTTCACTTATGCAACAAAGTCTATCTCCTTTAAAAAATACAAGCTTTGAGTTTCTTGAGGGCAGAGGCCATACCATGTACTGTGACTAGTGTAATACCTAGCACTTAGAAAATGTTTAATTAGATCTTACTTAATGAAGGGATAAGTAAATAATAGAAGTGCTGTGTATCCTGTCTTCTTACTCTTTTTTTCATACAGTGTCACTGTGTGGCAGAGACAATACTATTTGCCAAATAATCCACATCCTCCCTCTATGTTTCCCAGCCTTCCTTGCACTTAGGGTGAGGCCACATAAGTAGTTCTAGACAATGAGCTATAAGCATAAATGTTGCATGTCACTTGCAGCCCAATATCTTTAAGAGCAGTGGTGAATTTTCCACACTCTCTCTTCCCTTGCTTTGGCTCTCCTGACAATCTTGAGATGGTGTCACAACATCATGGGGCAGAAATGCATGCTGAACATACAGTAGTAGGGATAGTGGAAAGTAAGCCTTTTGTGTTAAATCACTGAGATTTCAGTATTAATTTGTTAAAACAGCATAATCTAATCCACCCTGAATAATAATAATATTTACTGTTACAAGTTTATACATCAGTCTCTATCTTACTGTATACATACGAGCTTTTATTGAACCTCGCCCAGTGGGCAGCTCTTTTGCTTCTCCTTACATGTGCATAATGCATAGGTAAAAAAAAAAAAAAATAAAAAATAAAAAGAAAAAAAAAATTGGGAGGCTGAGGCAGGTGGATCACCTGAAGTCAAGAGTTTGAGAACAGCCTGGCCAACATGGTAAAACCCCGTCTCTACTAAAAATACAAAAATTAGCCTGTGCCTGTATTCCCAACTACTCGGGAGGCTGAGGCAGGAGAATCACTTGAACCCGGGAGGTGGAGGTTGCAGTGAGCTGAGATCACACCATTGCAGTCCAGCCTGGGTGACAGAGTGAGACTCCATCAGAGAGGAGATGAGGGGAAGGAAGGGGAGGGGAGGGAAAAAAAGGGGAAGAGAGGGGAGGGGAGGGGAGCCACACATAACTGATGTTTTCCAACTCACCTGCCTGTTGCTAGCCAGCCCTCTGCCTCAAAACCTCTGAATATCAGAGTGTGCCCCCTACACATGATTTATATTTTCCATCCTTGCCCAGCCTGACACATAGGCAGAGCAGTTCATTGCCTATTCCCTGTGATCTAAGTGAGAGTAGAAGTATTTTTCTACATGCTCACACACACACACATCCTCCGTACTACCTCATGGATGCCTTTGATTTCGCAGCAGAATGCCATGTCTCTAAATTTCAAACCTTGTTATTAAGGAAACTTCTCCCAAGAATCGTACCATGTTCTGTTGCAAGCACAGGCTAAAGGAATCAGAGACTATCTCCAAAGTAGATCTGGAAGTCTTAAGCCCTCCTAATTTGTTAGGGATGTGTAGATAACCTCCACTGACCTACAATTACTAATATTCTCATGGTAACTTTGATATAATTCCATTCTTTTCTACAAGTATTCTACAAAATGCACTGCTTTTGTATTTGGAACCTAATTAGGTTCCAAATTTCATTGAACAGATTTATATTTTGTTGTTTCAGTAATAATTCTTTCAGTTAGAAAAAAACAAAAAACAAAAAACAGAAAATCTGCCTTCCAGGCTTATATAATCTTACCAGGATCTATCCTTTGGCTCTACTTTCTGTAGAAATGCTCCATCCTCAGACAGGCTCTCTTTTTGTCATGCGTGAAGTTCACAGGGCCACACCGTTTCAGTTTCATATCCAGTAGAGAAAAGCAAAAGTGTTTTCCCCAGAAGTCACAAAGATTCATTGCTTTGTATGTGTTCTGAATGGGCCATGTTCCCATCCCTGGACCAATCTTTGTGGCGAGGTGGATACAATGCACTAGTTAGCTGAGGCCTTAATCATCTCTCAAAGTGGTAAAAAAAAACAAACAAACAAAAAAGGAATGGGCTTCAAAGGAAGCACAGGCCTAAGAATAGGGAAGGGAATAATTTTTGGAGAGAAATTAGGCTACCACAAGGAAGGTTATGATGTTGGCAGCAATATCAACCTCTATTCTCTCTATATAGCCTGCTGCCTGGAGTTAGAATTTAGAGACAGCATCTAGTTAGAGAAAAAAAAGTGTTTCTTTATATACTACATATTACACTTCGATCATATTCTCTCTGTCCCTTCTCTGAACTTTTTAAAAAACATATTCTAAAGTATTTTCCTATATGCTGCCTTGTGTTTTAGTTATTTATAAATATTTCTCTCCCCTAGATCTAGATCTAAATCATTAGCTATTTCAAGGCAAGTACTGGGGTTTATATGACCGTGCGTTCTGCATTGTGCATTACATGTAGTAGGCATCCCCGACTATTCAACAAATAATTATTCATTGACAAAATGAAAGGATTAAAAGTCCATAGGTCTTCAGGTGGTAGCTTGGGGACTGATTTTTTAAAAGTCACTGGGTCTTACTCATCTTACTCATAGTATTAGGTTGGTGCAAACATAATTGCAGTTTTTTTGTCATTGAAAGTAATGGCAAAACCACAATTACATTTGCACCAGCCCAATATTATCTCATCACAGTTCTGTAACTCCTGTGTGTGCATGGATGTTTGTATGTGAGGTACTAATAGACACACAGTAAGTCTAATAGACACACTAATAGACACACACAGTAAGACACAGCTACTGTGTGCCCATGGTAAGCAACAGGGATATGAGGATATAGTGATTACAAAACAAACATTCCCCCAGTCTTCAAAAGTTTATACTCTAGTGACAAAGACAGATGCTTATCAAATAGAGTATAATAAGTGCTCCAAAGAGTAATTATAAGGTATTCAGGCAGAATGTATGTGAGTAATAGATCTTCAATTTTATTATTATTGTTCTAACTGATTCCAGATCAATTCCAAATTGGCTATGTCAGGGAATACCAGTTTTGCTAGAGGTCGATTAAAGGTGGAATTTCTTAGATGATTAACACTAGATTCCCAAGTAAAAGCTCAAGATCCAAGAAATTACATTTTATATTTGTGATAAGTAAAAACTAATTTAATTTTCTTTTCCTCTCTCCTTCCTCCTACCTCTCTCCCAGCCTGAAGTTCTGGATCAAATACAAAATTTAAGGGAGTTATGGATGGATAATAATGCATTACAAGTGTTACCTGGGGTATGTAAGTTTTTATTCTACCATGTTGTCTAATATTTATGTTATACATTTGTTGTATTTGATCATAATCTCAACTCTTAAATGTCAGTGTTTGTATTTCAAACTAAAATAACACTCATTAGGAGTGTTCAGTCACCAAGTGTTTTCACCATTTTTTTTCAGTATTTTGTGTATCTTTTTGAGTGTTATAGGTGTACAAAATATAAGAAAGATTTTTCTTATTCCCTTTGGAGTATATTTGTCATCTCTTCCCACATTTACTGTTCTTTAAAAGCCGAAATAATTTATAGTTATATTTTTAAAAAGCAAAATACTATATATAATACCAAGTTTTATTTTTACAAAATCAACCTTATTCTTACAGGTAACTAGACAATGGTTTTTATTCATTTTATTAGAGCTCTTTTACAAAACAAAAATCTCTCTCAGTTCAGGTGATTTTCAATAGAACCCATGTGAATTTCTGAAAATGGCAAGGATCATACAGTATTAAAAACAGAAAGTTAAACCAAAGACAAATTTTTTCCTCGACTAAAGGCCAGCCCAGTAGTATCTCCTGAGTATAGGTTTACCAGTCAACTCGTTGAGTATGATTATTCCTGCTTTTTCCATCTAACAAAAGAATGTTCTCATAAAACACTGCCCCTTGCCACTTGCATACACACACACACTGAGAGAGAGAGAGAGAGAGAGCGAGCAAACACAAGTCTCCCTATTGTTTTGTACAACTCCAAACTCTTGGCATTGGTCTAAGTAGGCACAGCAGGTGAATATGTAATAAATCTTCAGCCAACACAGAGGTTTAGATGTGTATTCTCAAAACCAGTTTTATTTATTTTTTGAATTGACATTAAAAATTACTTAAAATGACAGCAAAACCAACAAGAACAAGACATTTATTCTGCCTTTGAACAAGCATAAGACCACATAAAGGAGAAAATCTGAAACAGAGATTATGGAAAAATAATTAATGCTCTTATCAAAAGATACATTTATACCATCACAGACACAAAACAGAAAAATATGCACATCTATTATTCACTGATTTATTTAAAAATCATGTACCAATAAAGCTCTATGAAACAGAAACTATGCTAATGTCAGGGTTACAAAGATAATATATTCAATGACCTTGAATATATTTGTTTGAGAAGCTCACGCATGGCAGGATAAACTGATCTGGATTTCACTACTCATAGCAGAGCCTGATTTGTGCTATAGTCAAGGTATGTACAAATCCTGAGGCAACACAGGTAAGACACTTACCAATCCCTGCGCAAAGATTGAAGAATCAGAATGTATGCCTAGCTGAAAGTTTATACCTCTTCTTCAATATATTTATTTGTTAAAAATTACATAGCATTTACCACGGGCTAAGCATTCTCTCTCTGTTTTACAAATATTGATTCATTGAATCCCTACAACAACCCTATGAAGTAAGTTCTACTACCATCCCCATTTTATAGATGAGGAAACTAAAACACAAAAAAAGTAACTGGCCCAAGATAACACAGCCAGTAAATGGTGGAGCTGTAATTCAAACCAGCGCCAGAGGCTGCTGTTGACTGTAAAGCTCCCAAAGGCTCTCTGTGGAACCAATAGAAGGTACAAATGAGAATTTTACTTTTCACAATGTTTACATTCCCAAAATCCACTGTGCAAATCAACTCACATGCCAAATTTCTCAATAAGTTTGTTATTTAAGTGGAAAGGCAGGGATGAAATCTTCCATAAAGCATATAATGCTGCCTAATTTGTCCGTCTCGAGAGTAGATTTTTCATATGTACTGCTAGCTTTATATAGATTCCCTACTTTATTTTGTGTACTTGCACTTGGTATTTTGTTATACGCTGTGTGGGAATACTCTACACCTCCCTGCCTGAAATAGCCATGGCTTTCTGGATGTTGGTGCTGGCAAAGAATTGCTTTTCAGTTACCCCAAAATACTTGACTTTGAATGGTTCATCTTGAGTGCTGTCTCCAGCCTATGTCAGTTTCACAGAATAATTAAAACATTTAATATCATTAGCCATGGGGAAAAGAAACACATTCACTTTTTTCTTAGTTCATGTATCATAATAAAGTTAATATACTTTGTGAATACTTTTGAATAGTCTGGGCTATTATTTTCCACTGTGTTTTTCACAAATCAGAGAAGCAAATAGATAATGATCAAATATTTAGTCTTTTACATAGTTCTATCTTGTGACCATCAATCTAAGGTTAATCAACCAAAATATGACTAAACCATGTATTGAATTCACATTTATTTTAAACAAACTCCAGTATCTTCTTTTACTTGTGGTTTCTACTCTTTTCATCTGCTGTCCACTGCTCACCTATAGACCGTTCTATGCCCAGAGGATGTGAGATCACCATTCAGTATCCTCAAGGACTGTAAGAATTTATGCCTTTACAGTCCTCAGGCTATGATTGCTTTGATACAGTGTTTTCAACATCAAAGTGTTATTCCAAAAAGAATGTTTAGGAACTGCACATCAAAATATTAAATTATGCTGAAGATAGCCATGAAGGAAGCTTCAAGGAGAAAATAAATTTTCTCATGATATCTCATGATCAAGGAACAAAAAAGAAACACACACACATCATTCTTTCATTGCTCAATGGGAAAGAAGAGTGAACTTAGGTAACATGATAGTTCCTTGGGATGGAAAGCTATGAGTAAAGTGACAGTATTTTTCCAAGTGACACATTTCCAAGCATGAGGAGAAACTCTGTCTCATCCAAAGTACTCTGATTCTAGCTAGCAAATACTCAGTCACTCCAAGCCTGTGCTCACACTCTGCACCCACATGGGAAGCTGAGGGAGCAGGGCTAGAGATTTGCATGGGGTTAATTAAGGATATGTGCCCTCCAAATGGGCTTTGTAGCCTGTAGTCTGATAAAATTGAGTTTGAAATCAGCTCCACCCCATATTAATGGGATAACTTTGGAGTGTTACTTATAGTAGATGCTCTCATGCATCCTTCTTCAGGACTGAAGAATTTACTCTATTCCTTCAGCTTCTGGAAATGCTGCTTGCAGCTCTCCAGCCTTCTTCAGAAATTGCCTCACCTAAAGAGAACATCTTCACTCATGGTCATAACCCCATTCCCAGAGACCTCCATCCAATGATCAATCAATGCAGGTATATAAAGGCTCAGCCCTTCATCCTCTACTCAGAACAACTTCAGGGCAATCCCAAATTCAGTGATCTTGGAAGTGCCAGCCAAGGACTTTCTTAAGACTTCATCACAGCCCAACTTCTTTGTCTACCCAATCTTGCTCCCTTTCTTTCCTGTCTCTTTCTTTCTACTGGCGTTGATCCTAAACACTCTCAAAAACTTCTCTCTTTGCCTCTGCTTCCCAAGCAATCCAACATGTGACATGACTTAATCGCCAATCGTTAATATGTGTTAAAATGCAGATTCTGATTCAGCAGGTCTGGGGTGAGTCTGACGTTATACTTTTTTTTTTTTTTTTTTTTTTTGGCAGAGTCTCACTCTGTTGCCCAGGCTGGAATTCAGTGGTGTGATCTCAGCTCACTGCAACCTCCGCCTCCTGGGTTCAATGGATTCTCTTGCCTCAGCCTCCTGAGTAGCTGGGATTACAGGCACCCGCCACCATAGTCAGCCAATTTTTGTATTTTTAGCAGAGACGGGGTTTCATCTTGTTGGTCAGGCTGGTCTCAAACTCCTGATCTCATGATCTGCCCACCTCGGCCTCCCAAAGTGCTGGGATTACAGGTGTGAGCCACCGTGCCTGGCAGAGATTATACATTTCTAGCAAGCCCCCAGATGGTGTCAATGTGCTGGTCTGCCGAACACATTTTGGGTAGCAAAAATATAAAATATTGAATCAAATAATATATATATAGCATAGTGCCAAGTGCAAGCTTGTGTGTATGTAATAAATGTATGTGCTTATTGTGTGTTTGTTTATTTATACTCTGTCAAGTAATTAGAGATGGTAAAGTATGCACAGGTAGACCAGATAAACAGAAGAACCATTCATTGAATAACTGAAATGTGTGGAACATTTATTTACAAAACATGCCCTAAAGGAAAAGGAAAATGAAGACCTTTGCCCTGCCCTAACTCCTCTAGTCCGTGTCCCACCCACATGTTCACTCCTTGCCCAAGATATGGGTTTCTCCTCAGAAATCAGTTACTAATCCAGTCGTTCCACCTCTAACTTACTCTGGAGTCCATCCCTCTTCATCCTCACTTCTGCTGCCCTAACAGCTAAAATACTTCTATATCCTTCTAACAGATCTCCTTGACTCCAGCTTTTGAAAGTTCCCTGAAGTTATTTCTTCTAAGCATAAGTCTGTTCATGTTATTCCCCATTGTACAATCCTTTTGCTTTCCTTGCCTATAAAATAGAGTTTGCATTTCTTCACATGACATAGAAACCCTTTCAGCAGCCGGCTTCTCCCTGTAATCTCAGCTTCATCACTATACTCAGCCACTTTGAATTTCCCAGTCTTCCTCAAACATAGCATGCTTTGTCACACTTTATAAATATACATGCTGTTCTCCCTTCCAGGTACAGGTTCTCTTCTTTTGACAAGCAGCATCTTCCAGGCCATTTGCAGTCCTTCCCTGTTCTATGGCATTCACTACATGCTTTTTTATTGCACTTGTCACAGGGTATTATAATTGTTTCTTACTTGAAAGTTTCCTTCACTACTCAGAACCCCTTATTGATAAAAAGCTTTGTCTTCATCATGGCAAGTCTGTCCCCATACTTAACTGTCTTACTCTTGATTGTTCTTCAATACATAACACAGATACTGGTACATAGTAGATCCTTCAAAAAGGGCCATTGAATGAGCAAAACATTGACCCTGATTAATAGAGTCATCTCCAAAATTATAATTTAAAACCTTTCTTATGCATTTGAAGTTTTAAGGATCAACATGCCAATGTCATTGTTTCAATGGCAGCTTATTTAGTTGAGAGTTGTTTATTTTTTTCAGTGCCAACTTCAAGGTTATTGTGTGTTTTCTAACTGCTGCACTGAGATATAATTCACATACCATATGCAGTTCCTTGGTTTTTGGACTACTCACACAGTTGTACAACCATCACCACAATCTAATTTTAGAACATTTTCATGACCCCTAAAAGAAACCCTGAACCTATTAGCCGTAACTCCCATACTCCCCATCCACCCAGCTCCCAGCAACCCTACTCAACTGTCTATCTCTATGGATTGGCATATTCTGCACATATCATATAAATGGAATCATACAATATGTGGTTTTTTGTGACTGGCATCTGTTACTTTGCATGCATTTTCAAGGTTCATACATTGTGTAACATGTATCCATACTTTATTCCTTTTTATTGCCAAGTAATGCTTCATTATATGTATATGCCACATTTGATTTATGTGTTCATCAACTGATGGACATTTGGGTTGTCACCAATTTTTGGCATTGTGAATAATGCATCTGTGACCATTTGTGTAAGTTTTTTTATGTACATATGTTTTTATTATCAGTGGTGTGTACTTATACTGGTATAAGCCTATTTATTGTTGAGTCATTTTGAGAAACTGCCAAACAGTTTTGCAAAGTGGCTATACCATTTTACATTCCTACTAGCAATGTTTGAAGTTTACAATTCCTCCATTCTTGCCAACACTTGTTATTTTTGTGGTTGCTTTTAAAATAAACTTTACGGTGTAGTGGTTCTTACAACTTTAAAATGTCTTGTGAAAGTTTCTCAACTAACCCTGAGTTTATGCAATGTCATCAAGTCTATAGGGAAGTTAAAGATGTTGGTATACCTGGATATGTCAAAAAACAGAATAGAAACAGTTGACATGGACATTTCGGGATGTGAAGCCCTTGAGGACCTCTTATTGTCATCCAATATGTTGCAACAATTGCCTGACTCTATAGGTGAGGATACAATATTTTGTCACAAATATTTATGTCAAATATACCATTTTCTTTTTTGGAAGTATAGTTTGTCTATAGATATAGGTAATATACTGTTAGCCTGATGTTAATACAATTTAAAATGTGCTATGGAAATCATAAAATAGTATCTAACAAATATCTTAAGTGAAATATTAACTCTAGTGTCCAAATTCAAGAAGGCTCTCCTGTTAAAATGATCCTACCAAATTGATATTGTTTAAAAATTGTTATATCTCCTAAGTTGCAAAATGTTATTATAAGGAATATGTGTGTTTTCTTTAGAGTAATTTAATAATCATGTATGTATCCTCATATTATGATAGAATTACAATAGCTTCCATCCAAAAGATGTTGCTATATTCTATTTGTAATATTGTTGTAACATTGGTATAATATGAGTAACATATAAAAAGTATAAACATAAAATGTCTTCTTAGTTCTATTATTTTTAAAAAGTCACATCTCCTTAACATGTTAAGATTCATTAGATCAGATAATTTGCCTGTTAGTATATAAAAAGCACTCATACATTTTCATTTAAGAATGTTTATATGGCCCGGGCACAGTGGCTCACGCCTGTCATCCCAGCACTATGCGAGGCCGAGGCTGGTGGGTCACAAGGTCAGGAGTTTCAGACCAGCCTGGCCAATATGGTGAAACCCTGTCTCCACTAAAAATACAAAAAGTAGCCTAGCATGGTGGTGCATGCCTGTAGTCCCAGCTACTTAGGAGGGAGGCTGAGGCAGGAGAATCACTTTAACCCAGGAGGTGGTGGTTGCAGCGAGCCAAGATTACGCCACTGCACTCCAGCCTGGGCAATAGAGGGAGACTCCGTCTCGAAAACAAACAAACAAACAAAAAAATTTATATGAGTAAAATAGTGAAAGATTAATTTAAATAAGGAGTAAGTTTTTTTATAGGTATCTTGCTGTTAGTATTTATATGAGAACTCTACGAAAAGGGTAATCATTAAATCACTTAACTTTGTAACATAGATTTTAGCCTCTTTGAAACAGATGTGTTATATGTTCTGGAACTTAATCATTATTAAGACTGACTGAAGTTCAGAATCAGTCTTATATTAGCAATGTGGTGCTGTTATCCTTTGTGGATGCTGCAGATCCAGTCCAAGCCAGCGTGTGACTTGCCATAGTTTTCCACAGTGAATTTTCTGTTCCCGTTTTCCCTAGCTCCACATACTACTTGTAAATTTTTAATCATTATTAAGTTCCAGAACGTGTAACTTTTTAAAAATTAAGCCATATCCTAGATAATCCAGTTGAAGATGAGGCAATTTCCCAAATTTTTCTTCAATGCATTATTACTTCTATTTAGCCATTCTTTGAGGCTGATAAAGAACATTAGTTTTAGCAAAATTGTGGTCTATCTTTTCTTTCTTTCTAGAATTGTTGACTTTTTATTTACAAAATCACATATTTTATAATGGTATTTCTCTAACTTGCTCAATCATGGGTCTTAACTGAGAGTTTTATTAAACACTTCCACATTTCTAGGCTTTGTCTCTTAAGATTCTGATTCAGTAAATGAGACAAGCCCCCTGATCTGTATTTTTATTAAACATCATAGATGAGACTTGTGATCAGACAAATTAAGGAAATACTGGTTTATGTTGTAACAGGTAAAGAAGTATGATTATAGAGAATATCCACTGGTCAAGATGACAGAGCAACTTAATACATAACCTTACACCCCTACTCAACCACCATCCCATACCATTTTAAATATATCATGAAAATATAAAAACTATATATATTCAAAGAACATATTTTTCTTCATTACTGACTCCTCAGTGCCAAGAACTGTGCCTGGCATATTCTATGTGCTGTTTGAACACTAAGTAAATAAAATAGTTTAGCCACACTCACCCAGGCATGGTGGCATGTGCCAACAGTCCCAGTTACTCAAAAGGTTGAGACAAGAGGATTGCTTGAGCCCAGGAGTTCAAGTCCACCCTAGGCAACATAGCAAGACTCCATCTCCGGAAAAATAAATTCTGATTTTTAAAAAAGAAAAATTATCTTTGCTTAAGAAGAATGAACATCAACCTGAACCTGTGATAGAATGGAAAGCCAGCAATATCCCCAGGCCTGATGGGCTACAAACCACAAACAGCAGCTGTGAGTTTGGTTCTTACAGTGAAATAAGAAATAGAAGGACCTTAAACACAACAGAGGAATCAGAACTTACAGAAGATTAAGGCGGGACCTCTTTTCTGTGAAAAGGGACTGAAAAAATTTACAGCTAGTATGTGGAGCTAGAGAAAAGGGAAACAACAGAAAATTTACTGCGGAAAACTATGGCAAGTCACAAACTGGCTTGGACTGAATCTGCAGCATCCACAAAGGATAAGACCACCAACATTGCTAATATAAGACTGGTTCTGAACTCCAGAAACCTGGGGGTCAGGTGGAGGTAACCAGAAAACTGCCAAACAGGGAGAGGTGAGCATAGTGAAGGGGGAAACGTTCACCCTCACAGATGAGCTTGCAAACAAAAATGTTGAAGGAAACTAATGTTGCTTTGACAACCAAAAATTCAACCAAATAGCAGAATTTACCCTAAGGGAAATAAAAGTTATCAACCAATATAAAAATTATTTTAAGTATGTATAGAACCTCAAATAGATAAAAGAATAACAATTAGTTGTTATATCCAAATAATTAGTGCCAGTAAAAGAGGATTCTTTTATATTTAAAATGCTGAAATACAATAATATGACTTATCAAACAAAAATATGAGCTACGACTAAAAATAGATGGTTAAGAAAAAGAATCAATTAAAAATCCTGAAAATGAAAAGGAAGATATTGGTCAAAGGGTACCAAGTTGCAGTTAGACAGGAGGAATAAATGATTAAATGTACAGATATGTTAATTAGCTTGATTCAATCATTCTAAAGTGATACCACTGCATCACTATGTACCTGATAATTATTTACAATTTTAATTTGCCATAAAGTTTTCAAAAATAAATTTTGAAAAATAAATCTTGGAAATTAAAATACCACCTTAGGTATGAAATACCATGTAGGGAAATTTTAAAATACAATTCAGCTATAATGAAGAAAGTATGTATAGTCAGGTAAAAAATTTGTAAGTTGGAAGACAGTGCTGAGGAACAGAACAGGCACATAGAAATTTGTTAATAAGAAATATTAAAGATGACTTAAGAGACACAGGGAATAGAATAGAAATTGCATTCTAAAAATGAAAAAAGCAAAAAAAATTACATTCTCCAGGAATAAATACAGAATTCCAGAACTACAGAACAGAATAAATGGAAAAGAGGAACTATTCAAAGAGAAAACAGTTGATACTATTTTTCAGCATTAAATACACAACTAATATATCATACTAAATGCATAGTGCTAAAAGAGATAAATATAATAAATTTGCACTGGCTCATTGTTCTGAAACTACAAGGACAAAGAAAAATATTGTTTAAAGCTGCCATAGAACAAAAAGAGCTTATCTACAAAATAATAATTAGAGAAGTCATAATTGTCATCAGTGACAATATCTTCTGGACAGTGGTGTAATATCTCCAGAATACTGAAGGTTAATCACAGGCAGACTGAATTTCTATACCCAACTAAACATTCATTCAAGAGTGAGCGCGCAACAGATATATTTGAACATATACCAAGAATAAGAGAATCTGCTCTTAAAAGATGTACTTCACTCAGAAAACAAAAAAACTCAGAAGGAAGGAAGTGAATACATAAAGCAATGGCAAGCTTTACCAAATTTACCAACTTAATTTGGTAAATTGAGTAACTAAATTTACCAACTTAAGTTGGTAAATTAAATTAATTAAATTACTCAATTTGGTAAATGATGTTGTTATATCTAAATAATTAGTGCCTGTAAAAGATGAATCTTTTATATTTAAAATGTTGAAATAAAGAACTGGGTAGAGCAATGTTAGACAGGATTAAGGAATGTGAAGGACCTTATCTTATTCAAGCAGAGGCTAGAAATACTGCATAACTTTGCATGAAATATTCAGTTAAATAGATATGTTAAAAATGTAAATGTATCTACTTAATAGAAATGAAACTGATACTTCCAAACCAGGAGAGGAGAGGAAAAGTTCTGAAAGAAAATATTCATATGGTGGAAGAAAGAAAAATAAAATGTGAAAAAATGATAAAATAGAAGTTATAAAATAAGATGGTAAAAATAAATTCAAATTGTCATAAATCACAACAAATGTAATAGATTTAATGGATTAAACTTATTCTGTTAAAAGATCCAGAATTTCAAGTTCAGCTATATTGTGGTTATGAGACATATCTAAAACAAAACACAGAAAGTTTGATTTTACAAAGGCAATAGAGTTCGTTACCAGACTGGGCAACATAGCAAGTCCCCAATTCTACAAAAAAAATTTAAAAATTAACCAGGCACAGTGGCACACACTTGCAGTCCTAACTACTAGGGAAGCTGACACAGTAGGATTGCTTGAGCCCAGGAGTTCAGAGGTTGCAGAGAACTATAATAGCACCATTGCACTTCAACCTGGGTGACAGAATGGGACCTTGTCTCAAAAAAAAAAAAAAAAACTGGTAGAAAATGAAGCATTATTATTAACATGATATAATTGTTTGTATAAAATAGTTTCCTTTAAGAAAGCAAACTAGGAAATTAGCCTTCTGGTCTGAAGAAGTCAGCATGTAATGGGTAACAGAGAATATCAAGCTAGACACTGGATTGGCATATGACACACTAGGATAGGTAGGTGGTATTATATATTTTACACCTTCATTTATGACCTGAATGCTTCTCAAAGTAACTGTTGTAGTAGCTTACTCCTTGAACTATCTTTGGACCTTATTGACCTGTCAGGGAAATTTGTGTTTTTACATCTGCAGAGTTGCCACAGTCCCTGATTATAGATGTAGAGTAACTGACTCTGCTCAGAGAATTCCCTTTCTTGATCAAAATAAATATCTGGAATAGGAAACTGAGAGCTCTGTTCTGAGGTCCTAGAATGGTTCACTGGTGATAATTGCATGGCGAATTGCATTGTGTCCTCCTTATTTGGAGCGTGGATTATCTATTGGACTACCAACGTTTAAAAGAATAAAAGATAAGAGTCTTCACGGTATTAACAGAGGGATATGCCAACTAAAATAAAATCTTTACTTTCTTCATGCCTTTTTTAGTTCCTCTGCAGCGATAGGGTATTTGAATGGAGTGATATACTCAACAACAAGCCCTGTATACTGAGTCACTTTTCCTGTGCTGGTTCCAGGGCAAATGAAAGGGACTCTTTTCCTCTTCTAGATGGAGAGTTTTAATAATCTTTGGATAGCAGAGAAACTCAATAAAGAAAAGTAAAAATAAAGAAAAAAATTTTGCTTAATAATTTATCTTACTCCCTTACAGGTTAAGGGCACGGGCTTTATAGTTAGGTTACTTAGAGATCTGATTCTGGCTTTTCTACCTTACTTGCTATGTGACCTTAGACAAGTAATCGTGCCTCAGTTTCATCATCTATTAAGTAATAGTAGTAACAGTACCTGACATATAGTAAACAACTATTGTAATAATATAATATTTATTATAATCTTAGATTTGATGAGTGCACAACTATTTGCTTTCAAAGTTCTATTGTATATTTGTAAATGTAAATATTAGTAAATTAATGTTTAATATATTGATGCTGATCATATATATGTGTATATAGTTAAAATTATAGGAAAAGGCCTTCTTTTTCTATCTCTTCAGTATTTCTTAGTTGAGAGTATAGGATGAAGAGATGGAGACTTGGAGAAGTGCACAAGTAGAGAGAAGGAATAGGATAAAATACCTTTGATTACTCTAGAGAAAAGAGTCCAAGTGCATATGATATAGAAATGCAATAAATATATTATCTGCCAGAGGAAGACATGAGCAACAAGGGTGAGGCTTGCAGCCTAATTTCATCTCAGGAGCAGTCATGATTCTACAGAAGCTCCAGACTGTCCAAAGAGTATCCTCTTGGATGGAATATGAGTGTTGGCAAAATAGCCACATCACAGATGAGTGAAATTCCTTTAAACCCACAGACTTGGAGCTGAGCGGGAACTAAATTGCTTCAACCTTTAAAAATATTGAAAAAGATGCACTTAACAGAAGCTTCTTGTGAGAGCCACTACTGTAATCTTCAGGAAAATCTGTCACATCAGCATTTAGCCTTAGGCCCTAACCTGCCTCAGGGTTTTCTCTGCATTACTTCAGACCTGGAGACCATGATCCTCTGAAAGTACTTTGCACCCTGACTTTGTGATGTTTGCTCAGCCATCTGTCACCCACTCCCAAGCTTCTTGTGACCCAGTTGAGTGATGTTGAGACCATCAACCCACCTCCAGCTCCACTGGCAGGCAGGGTGCTCGTCTGATCCAAGCTACCAAATCACAAAAAACTTAACTATAATTCATACTTCCCTGTTTTCTTTCCATAACTGAAAAACAAGCTCAGGTGTTCTTTTATACTTCCAAGGCTGATATTTTAATATACGCTCTAGAGAAGCTAAAATGATTCAATTACCTTTTGAACATAGATGGATATGGCAGTAGATGTTCAGACTTCAATGATAAATTGCCACAGTGTGAATTGTCCCTTTCCCAGGTGATGCTGTTTTCAAGCTGATGTATTCAGCTCCCAGGTATTTACTTATAACAGTCTGATAGTGATAACATTTCTCTCTACTGCAGTAGAGATTCTGAGTGCTTCTGAAGAATACGTAATAGAACATACTGAAATGTGAAGTGCAGCCACAGCTTTATTTCAGACTTTTTGTGATTTACTCTATGCCTTTGAGGAACCCTCAAAACACTTGAGAAATATGAGCATGATTTATAGCCAGTTTCTCAAAACATGTTCCCAGAAACTAGCTCGACAACATGTTGTGCACCACCACCCCCTCACACACACACACACGAATTCCATAATAACTCTGGAGAGTCACATTAGTATATTAAAAGCTCCTAGAAAAACTAGGATTAAATTAAACAAAATTAAATTTTGTGGTTTTTTTGTTTATTTTGTTTAATTTGGTGTCTCTCAAAACATATTTGACCATGAAACTTACTATGCCAATTAGAACACTTTTTTTTTTTTTTTTGCAGAATGGAGCATTCTATAGTGTATGTATGTAGTTCCAATGTAAAACGAAATTTAAGTGTTAATCCTTTGCCCTTGGATTTGGACTATTTAAGCCATATCAATATTGTAGGTTATTTTATGGTTGGGTAAGGAAGTTGATTATGCCAAATGCAACTGTTCTTCAATTACTGTGTGGCTATTGCTCATTAAAGCCCTGGGAAGAGAGCAAGCCGTTAAGGGTATGGAGGCCGTAAATCAGATAGTGAAAGATAAATAGTTGTAACTTAAATTCCTGGCCAGTTCTAAGTTTTTGTGCTTATTGCTGATCCAAGGCAGGATTTATGGTGCCAAAAAGAATATGAGGTCATACATTGTAAATTTCCAAGAACATAATTATAACCACTGCATTGCAATACTTCAGTATTCATTTTTGTTGATCACTGGGCTCAATTCAGATTTGTTTCCAATTTGTATCACAACAGGGATGTTAGTTATTACTGCTTAGGAGTTAATTAAATATTAAATCACAGCTGGCTTGAAAAATTTCAACTGGTCCATTTGCTGTAGAATACAAAAGGGAAATGTAGTAGTATTAGTGTCAACTGGGGTGTATGTGGAGCTGTATGTTTTGTTTATTTCTGTGCATTTTTATTCTTGAACTGTCATTGATGTACGCATTTTTTTGCAACTAGAAGGTCGAAATTATACTACACACAAATGTCAGTTTTATGAGTGTGTATTAGCAGAGTGTGGCCAATTAGCATGCCAAGCATTCAACACAAGTGATTCATTTGATTTCTTTTATATAACATTTTCTGTCATAAATCTGCTTTTATGTATTAATCAACCTTCTTCTCTGTTTTAGGACTTTTGAAAAAACTAACTACTCTAAAAGTAGATGACAATCAACTTACAATGCTACCCAATACAATCGGAAAGTAAGTGCCAACTTTTCATACCAGTCAGCCTCTCTAAAGCCAGAAACTAAAGGATATATTGAGTTTTCTACTTCAAAACGTTTTCTACTAAAGATACCAATAATCCTGTTCATCTGTCAGCTTATTTTAAACTATATTTTATTTATATATATTTGTATGTGTCTTAATTTAATTTTATATCTAAACATTGCATTTGCCATCCAACTTTATAATATCATGAGAAATGTTTACCCATGAAACTTTCACAAGCAAAATGATTACCCAGACCTTCAATTATACTCTTGCTGGTATTTTTCAGATATTATTAGTTTGATGTTTTTGACTGTGTAGCAGCTCTGAATTCACTTGACTATTTCTTGCAAAATTAAACCAATTTTTATAAGGCTCTGCAATATGTATATGTTACCATTACACTATTAGTAACATTTGATATTCATAGAATCTTAATGTATTTTTAGAAGCTAAAGAGAAAAGCATCTGCTTAACTAGCATTTTTTAAAACTTCAAGATGAAAGTCTAACATTGCCTTTTAAAGATAAAATATACTCCATTTATTTGATAATAATTTCTTTCTAATTTTATATTGTCATTAACATTTCGTTTACAATTCTTTAAGAACTATATATATTATCAATGTTCCACTGAAGTACTATTGTTTACAATCCGTGTAAAATGAGAAATCAATAGAGGCTGTCTTCATTCTGAAATTATGTAAGAGCATTTTATTGAGATCTTGCCCTACATCTTAATGTGAAGAATCATATAAATTCTTAATTTAACAAATTTGGTATTCTCAAGAAGGGAAAGCCTTATTTTTTAAATAGCTTTTTATTAAGCATAATTGACATACAAAAAACTGCACATTTAAAGTCTACAATTTGATAAACTTTGACATTGCTAAGAAGCCTTGAAACTATCACCACTGCAATGAAGACAGCGAAAATGTCTGTCACCTCTCCCCCAATCCTCCTCCCCATCACTCCCTCATCACCTGCCAAGTCAGCATATAGCCCCTGATCTAGAAAGTTTAACTTTTATAGAGTGGAGCAACTTGCTAAAATTCAAACTCAGATGTTCAGACTTTGAAGAGTAGTAAAATTCTCAACCATTTTTTTTTATTTTAATGCCCTCACTCTACAGTGTGTTTCTCTCTACAGTTACTTGCATTTTCTCCAGTATAGAGCAGAGAGAACTTAACTTTAAGGGTACACAAAACTATCTATCTTTATCAGCCCGGTGTTTTTTAAAAGCAGGCACTAAGATAGGCACTAATCTTTCTTCTTTGGGTCAATACTCAGGGGAAACTGAATTCAGCTTCTTTTATCCCTGCTTACATCATGATTGGTATTTGCCACTTATGTTCATATTTCTTATGAAAGTACCCTGGCTCTTTGAAGACAAATTAAAAAGTGTCAATAGCCTAAAAATAGACAAAGAAAGATAGCTTTTTCAGTAGGAAGTATAACCCTGATTTTGGTCATCTTGAGAACTAGATTTGTTGGTAATTTTTAGCCAGAATTTTGGCCTCTTGACCTCCCAGGTGAGGACCTCCCAGCTTTTTCTGGAGTCTGGTTTCAGCCCATGACCAACACTGGATACATGTGTGCCTTGAGCTCCCATCATACCCCAAAGCAAGTTCCTGCCTCTGACCTTCACCAACAGAACCACATGCCAGACTTTGCCTCAGGAACAGGCAACCTGAAGCTCTAACTCTGTCTCCTCCCCAGCAGCCAAGCGGGGCTTGCAGCCTGGCTCTGTACACACAGCCTAAACTACAGTCAGTCTTAGTTTTTATGCTACCACCAGAATTTAGTCATGTCCTTTGAAATCTTCCTGGTAGTTGAATTATAAATGTGGAGAAAACTGAACTGTTTAAATAATAACTTGGTATAAGCTTTTATACTACTATATTCAAAAGGAACAGATATGGAAACATCAGTTGGCTGTCAGCAGCTTTCACTTGCTTGGACAAAAAGCTTATTCCAGAAAAGCAGGGTGAGTGACTGAGAATTAGAGCATCTATAACACTGAGAAGGCAGAATAGTGAAGCTTCTTATTGAAAGCTTCTCATTCTTATTAAATTTTCAGATACCACAAAGCCAGAAAAAATACTTACGTTCGATGACAGAAGCAATATTTCAAAAGCTGAACAGAGTGGGTGCTTTGTTGAAAGACCCAATAGAACTTAATAGAGATTCTTGGAGAAGTAGGGAGAAATCAGTGATTTGATTGGCCATAATCAGTATAGCCAATATAATAATGGAACTGTCCAGAAAACCACTGAAGCATTAGCTGGGTAGACGGAAGTATCCACTCAAAAATAATAGGTACTAATAGTTCAGGTGTCCTCTGACACTTCTGATTCTGTCAGTTCTGGACTTCATCTGTATCAATTGACAAGAGGGCAACCAGCATGAGAGATGTGGAACTGTGATTTATAGGAAAAAAGCAGAAGAAATTTGTGATGTACATCTTCCAGAAATTTTTTTTTTAAATCATCTGAAGTAAGGATGTAACTACTTGAGAAATAGAGTATCCAAAAGTGTGGGACCATAGGCCCAGCTCTTCTTCTGTACAGCTCCCATTCCACTTCCAGACTTATTGGCACACTGTGCTCTTCCTCACTGAGGCACCAGGAGCCCAGAAAGCTGCTGCTGCCACCCACTCTAGTTCTGGACTCTTTCCTCAATGATGGCTTCAGAGTAGAGGAGTACTTTCAATTCCCACCCTACTTGCCTTCGAGGACACAAATGTCTAGGGGTCTTTGCTATAGGGCTTTCCTACTAATTACTGGGGAAACATTGCCAGAATATAACAAAAAATTCATGCTACAAAGTTAAGAAATTTTATTATAAAATGTATAAACAGCCTATACAGACGGGCCTGATGATAGTGATAGTACGGTCATGCCAGTAGTGGACCACATATACGACTGTGCTCCCATAAGATTATAATACTGTATTTTTACTGTACCTTTTATATGTTTAGATACACAAATAGATACCATTGTGTTACAATTGCTTACTGTATTCAGTACAATCACATGTTGTATAGTTTTGTAGACTAGAAACAATAGGTTATATCATATAATGTAGGTGTGTAATAGATTACACCATCTGGGTTTGTGTACCTACATCTATAACGGTCACATAGTGATGAAATCACCTAATGATATATTTATCAGAATTCATCCCAGTCATTAAGTGACACATGACTGTAGTCACATCTGCCATTCAATAATCGTACCACTCTTCTTGTTCACTAGGCTTCAGTCATACTGGCCCTTCTCCTGTGCCTCCAGTAAGCCGGGCTTTTCCCCGTCTCAGGGCTTTCTGATTTGTTGTTACCTCTACCTGAAATATTCTTTCCCCACTCTTCATGAGGCTAACTACTTCACATCTTCTAGATCTGTACTCTTAAACTTCAGTGAGCATTCAAATTATGTGGGAATTTTGTTTAAAAGGCAGGTCCTGATCCAGTAGGTCTGGGACCTGAAGGGCCTGTGTTCTGCCCTTGTCACAAGCTCCCAGGTGATGTAAAAAAATGCTGCAGATTCATGGGAAACATTGTGAATAACAAGACCATAGATCTAGATTTAAATATCTCTTCCACAGTGAGGCCGTCCCTAAATGAACTTCCACCAATATAATCACCAGCAAATTTCCTGTCCCTGTTCCTGCTGTTTCTTTCATGCTACTTTTCACAACTTATAATTTTATGTCATCTCATTATTTTATTCTGTCTCATAATGTATATACCTCACCTCAATGAAGATCGTTTTTGTTTCCCAGCTCCAGAATTCTATAGTTTCTGAAAATTATTAACACTAGATCCTAACCTACTTTTGTTTTTGATTCCATTATAGTAGTTGTATAGTTATCAGAACAACTATATAGAAATCGAAATCAGTGTTCTTTAGTAAGAGGATGAAAATATCAAACATTAATGATGTTTGTAATGAGTATGGCTTCATATTTAGAACTGTCATGCACCTACTTTCCTACTGAATGCCTTGATTCAGAGTTAAAATGCAAAATAAGAAATAGAGAAATTATGTAAGTGAATATGGATGCTAGGTTATTCACATACTTCATTTTATTTTCATTTTAGTTTTTACTGGATAATTATCTTAAAAGTATTAAAAAGTTTTATCAAAAATAAAAGTTTCATAAATTGCCAAATGATTTATGTTTTTAATGAAACATTCTACCTGTAACTTGGGGCAATGAAAGCCTAGAAATGTGAGGACCAGATACAGTGACCAAAAATATTCTTATTCTGCACACAGAATATTTCAATATTTCAGACTTATCTTAAAAACTCCTGGAAGAATTCATTTTTCACAGTTAAAATGGATTCCATGACTTTTGTGCCAAATGGCTTGTAAAATTAGTTATTTTTTTTTTGCTGAACTTTACTATGTGCCTAGGAGTTTCAGCAGCTCTAAGAGTTTAATATCAAATAAAAATGATAATGTATGCCTTTTTTTGTACTCACGGTGTTCCAGACCTCATGTTTGGTGCTTTCTTTACAGGTATTATCTTATTTACTTAAAGGCCTCGTTAGCACTATATGATATGTATTATGTCACTATCAACAGATACAGAAACAAAGGCAGAGAGAAGTCACCAGACTTCAATGCCAAGCTGTTAACTGAACTATATGTGATGCCTCTTTATATATATGGTCGTTGAGTCACCCATTGAGTAAATAACTTCATATTTGGTCATTCAATGGGTACCATAAGTCTACCTGCAAAGGAGGTACACTGCAAAGGAGGTACTACCGCACTCTGAGCCTTATCTTCTTAGCTTTGTGTCTTGGATAAAAGCAATGAAAACTTAGAAATCTGAATGGGTATTTTTAAAAGCTGTTCCTTCATAGAGTATGGTCAAACAGAAAGATTGCTGGACTAGGAATCAAGAAATCTAAGTGTCTATGCAAAGCTAAATAAATCCCTTCCTCTCTATGGGCTTCAGAGGTCTGAAGGGTAACATGTG